TATTAACAGGACTGTCGTATTTAAGACACAGGAGTTAATTGTCCCACTCTACTCAGCACTGGTGAGGACTCAGCTGGAGTTCTGGTCCCAATTCTGGGTGCCACACTTTAGGAAAGATGTAGATAAATTGGAGAGAGAGTCCAGAGGAGAGCAACAGAAATGATAAAATGTTTAGAAAACCTTTCCTCATAGGTCAGGTTAAATCTGGATATGCTTAGTCTTGTAAAAGAAAGCTGAGGGGAGGAACTGGATAACTGTCTCAAATACATTAAGGGCTGTTATAAAGAGGATGATGATCAGTTGTTCTTCATCTCTACTGAAGGTAGGATAGGAAGTAATGGGCTTAACCTGCAGCAAGAGAGACTTAGGTTAGTTAGTTGGAAAACTTTCTAACTATAAGTGTAATTGAGTTCTGGAATAGGGTTCCAAGGGAGGTATTAGAATCCCCATTGTTGGAGGTCTTTAAAAACAGGTTGGACAAACACCTGTTGGGGATGGTCTAGGTTTACCTGGCCCTGCCTCCGCATAGGTGGCTGGACTAGGTGACCACTTGAGGTCCCTTCTAACCCTTCATTTCTATGCTTCTATTATTTCTGTGTCTGGTAAAATTAATAGTTATAGGCATAGTCCTGTAGACTTGTTGAGCCTGGGTCATCCACAAGGAAGGCCAGCCTCTCTTTTGTGTTTCCCAAAATCCTCCTTCTTTAGGAATCTCTCCAGGGAGATGGGTAACATCCAGAAGAGGAGTTAATGATACCTCTAGTATCTATTCTACTGCATTGACTGTTTTGTTTGGGGGAGCTAAAACATTAGAAGGCAGTGCACTGCAGAGTGTGGCTTCACTAAGTCCCCTACAGGGCAGACATGCCTTTATTAGTACAAGGGAGCTTATGCATGCTTTTGGAAAAGTTGGGGACCATGCTAGAATTCTTCTCCTACTTATGGGACCCTTTCACCCCTTACTCTGACTTGCTCCTCTCTGCTAATTTACAAAGAACAATGAGGTTTTTTTGTGCAAACCGATAATTTTACATAACTGCCTAGTTTCAGAGACAGGCATAAAAATAAGTTTCATATTTTTTACTCTTATTCAGTAACATGAAAATGCAAGAAGTTCCTATTTGTTTGCAGATCAGCTATTAAATGAACATGGAATTGTTCCAGGATCAGTATTATACCATAAATCGTCACAGACATTGGTGGTACGTTGCAAGGTATGTTTTCTGCCTTTGCTTTCTGTTGAAGGTTCTGAAGATGATTTTTAGACTGCTACCTCTTTTTTTAATAATCTGCACCCTAACGTAAGACCATAAGAATGGCCAGACTTCAACAAATTTACCTAGTAGGTAGAGTCCTTACCGTGTGCATCTTTTCTTTTCTTCTCTAGGAAGGCTGGGTCGGAGTCAAAACTGTCATCTTAAAGAAGAGGCTTACAGCTGCTGACTTCTATAATGGGTACTTACATCCCTGGTTCCAGCAGAATTCAAAAACCCTTCATGGGGATTGCAGATTTCACACTCTCAAACTTACCACAGTGAAGAAGACTGAAAGAAAAGGAAATGGTGGTGCACAATTTAAAACAAAAAGTGCATGAAATCTGTCAAACAGGACCGCTGTAAATGAATAGAAACATTAAATATTTCATCGTCCATTACAATAAATGAAGCAGGTATTTATTTAAGGGTGTTTCAACTGAAAAATGTGCGATATTGGTATCATCAGCCAAGAAGATGCCGTCAGTACTCTTTTATGAAGCACTACGTTTTATTCCTTGAGAAGAGCACACGTTAGTGAATGCCTAACTGAGACAATGAATAACCCTGTTTCTATTGTTAAACAATAAATTATTTTTATACATAATTTTAAAAAGCTTGATTTTTTTTTCTTGGTTTAGTCAGAGGGTAAATCAATATAATTGTGTTTAATTATGCTTTTCTGACAAACTTAAAGTAGTTTGTCCTTAAATGGTATAGGAAATTAATGAGAAACACTCTACCTGCAAGGTCCTGTTTGTGTGAAACAAACCTATTTTGGTAAGTAATATCTGCCAAAATCCTATTGGATCCAAATATATTTGTACAAGGGCATATGGTAATTGTGTAGTATTTCAGGCCCAGCTTTGTAATTTTTCATTAGTGTAACATTTTCAAGTGAAGTCTACAATTGGGAATTGTCCAGGAGGATAATATTGGTAATTTTGCATGCTTTTATTATATAAAATAAATGAGAACACAAAGCAGAAATTTTGCCTCTAAATCAATATCCACTGTACTCTTAGAGTACACACCATTTAGTGTGACTCTTAGAGTACACACCATTTGGCTAGTGTTTGGTTGGATGACGGCCATCCAGAAAAGTTGTGTGTCTAATGGAGGAAAAGCTAGTAAAATTTTGGCACTGAACGTGTATATTGAATTAAGTATCTATTTGTATATGGTCATTCAAACATTTTGTATTTAGCTCAGTAGAATACAATGTGACAGTTTAATTGTAGGAAACAGTACTTTTTTCCAAAACATCAGAAGGACAATGTAGAAAGCTTTATCGCTTCATCTGGACACCGAGATATCTCTTGTTTAATGAAGGCAGTTTGGAAGGCTTTTCTGTCATCCAGGCTTATCACGCAGATCTTTCAGAAACCCACTTTAGTACTTGACATTAGAGGAAACAGCCAGAAGTTTAGTACTTTCTTTTGAAGAAAAACTTTTTTCTACCAGATGATGAGAGTGTGAACTTCAATTTGTAAAGACCAAGGGTCAAGAAGTCCTGTTTTCCCAAAGAGGAGACAGGAGTGGCCAGTATTGACTATAGAACAGTAACCAGCAAACATCAGCCCTTGCATGCTTTGTGCTTTAGTCTTTCAAAGTTGCAGTGTGCTTACATAGATTCTTGCCATTTTAAGCTTGACTTACTAAGTTGTGCTTCTTTTAAAGTAGCTAAATGGATTTTTTTTTCCATAAAATGATTTTATATTTACATTTAAGATTATTTAATAGAACTATGATTTGTATTAAGGTAATGCTTTTGTTATGCTTGTAAACTAACCTGTGCCACTAGACTTAAGTTGTCATTTACATAGATTTTGGACAATTATCTTCAGCAGTTTATAGTCATCCAACTCTGGAAATAACTAAAGTTTAGAAAAAGATTTGGAGGAACCTCTGACTGGCATTTATAAACTGGACTTGAAAATTATTCCAAACAATTTATTAGATGAACAACAGCCTACCAGCTCGAGGTGTAGATGAAAGACGGGAGATACCAGAGAAGTCTAGGGGCAACATCTTAGAAGCCTGCCATCCTCAGTTGTGGGGAATGGGTATAGTGCTGGGATTTTTAGCAACTTTCTATCCTTGAAGCTGCTTGGGAGTTTCCATGTATTTAGCAACCTCTGGCTTGTAGGTGTACAATAGAACTTGGAAGTTCCACCACCCTCTAGCTGCTGGAAGGGGAAAGATGCATTCTGTTCTTCCTTTCCCCTCCGGAACCTTCTAGCTGCTATGTATTGCCCTCTTGCAGAACATATGGACAGCTGTGAAGGGGGCTGATCTTTGCTACTCTACCCTCCCCAGTCTCCTGCCTGCGCCGGTGAGATGGAAGAAAAATATTTTTTTGGTGGGGGGGAGGGATATGATGGAGTGGAGGGGGAGAGAGAGCTTCTCTGTGAATAACCCCAGTGCTCATGTCTGCTCCTACATGTAGCTTTCTCAAGCAGCATGAAATTGACTTGATTCTTGATTGCTTTACTATTGTCTATGAGGTCCTGAACAGCAGCAGTGAAACTGGAGTATTACTAATTTCACTTTGCTGCTGCTTGGGAGAAGCTGGGGAAGCAGCACAGCTACTGGAGCAGTTTGCAAACTCAGGAAGAGACACTGCATCGGTTTCCATTCAGTTCATATTTGCAAAGTTATCAATGAAATCCTAAGGGCTGTACACTTTACAAAAAATTGCCTAAGTTCTATAGAAGTAGATGGCTCAAGTTCTCACAGTCACTAGGTAAAGTTTCTCATGTTGGTGGATATGCTCCAAGTTCTGGATACGCCCAGACTTCATGCTTTAACTTCTCCCTCGTGGCCTATCTAGGGTTGCCTTGTTGGCCACCTCGATCTTTGAATGGCAGTGTGTATACATCCTTTCAGATGTAAAGAAGGAGGTGACTAAAGCTGGAAGAGACGCACAGACCATAGTCACTCTAAATGTGTAGACACCAAGGCGGCAGGCATCCTAGAAATATCTGAGATGCATTGGGCAAGAGAGAGAAAAATCCATTAAAAATGCACCACATTATATAACATGGAGGAAAATGTTTTAATGGAATACATGTCACAGTATTTTTTTATTGTCCTCAATCTATCCATGAAGCTGTAACAGGTTTCCCAAAGCATAGACTCTTCCACGATGTTTAGGCCTCTGACTCAATGTAAACCTGGAAGTAGTATCATGGTAAAAGACTGGATCATGTTGAGAGAGTTCATGTCAGCTTGAAATAACTGCACATTAGCAGGGCTGTAGCTTATTACGCTCTTATGAGTTACAAATATTAAACTGAGCCTGTGTTTAGAAACTGTGACAGAGGCTCTAACTATTGTCT